CCCAGCAAAATGGATGAGTGAGATGGGCAGGAGGGCGGGGGTGGGATGGCTGTTAGTGGGGACAGACGGACATCAGTGGGGGACAGACAGATGTCAGTGGGGGCAGCTGCTGCTGGGCAACAATCAGGTGTCAGCAGGTGACAATCAGATGTGATGGGCTGACAGCTGGTGATGGGTGACAACCAGATGTCACCAGATGGCAACCAGCCACCACCAGGTGACAACGAGACGTCACTGGGTTACAAACAGGTGCCATCAGGTGACAGTAACACCTCACTGGGTACAACCAGATGTCACCAGGTGACAATCAGCCATCAGTGGGTGACAACCAGGCGTCATCAGTGACAACCAGACATCACTGGGTGACAACCAGCTGTCACCAGATGGCAACCAGATGTGACCAGGTGACAACCAGGTGTACAACCAGCCACCACCAGGTGACAACGAGACATCACTGAGTGACAAACAGATGCCATCACGTGACAGTAACACCTCACTGGGCACAACCAGATGTCACCAAGGGACAACAGCGCATCGCTGGCTGACAACCAGATGTGACCAGGTGACAATCAGACATCAGTGGGTACAACCAGCTGTCACTGGGTGACAACAACACATCAGTAGGGGACAACCACCCACCACCAGGTGACAATCAGATATCACAGGGTGACAAACAGATGCCATCAGGTGACAGTAACACCTCACTGGGTACAACCAGACGTCACCAGGTGACAATCAGCCATCAGTGGGTGACAACTAGGCGTCATCAGTGACAACCAGCCACCACCAGCTGACAATGAGACATCACTGGATGACAAACAGATGCCATCAGGTGACAGTAACACCTCACTGGGTGACAACCAGACGTCACCAGGTGACAATCAGCCATCAGCGGGTACAACCAGCTGTCACTGGGTGACAACAACACATCAGTGGGTGACAACTACCCACCACCAGGTGACAATGAGACATCACGGGGTGACAAGCAGATGCCATCAGGTGACACTAACACCTCACTGGGTACAACCAGACGTCACCAGGTGACAAAAGCACATCACTGGATGACAACCAGACATCACCAGTGACAACCAGCTGTGACCAGGTGACAATCAGCCATCAGTGGGTACAACCAGGTGTCACTCGGTGCCAACCCCGCTTCCCCGGGTGCCAACCAGACGTCACCAGCTGGCGCTCACACGTCACTCGTGAACAATCACACCTCGCTGGGTGTTTGGGAGCGGAAGCTCATCGTGGCAGAGCAGCACCCACAGCACAGCGCCCGCAGGACCCTGCGGAGCTCGCTGTTACGGAAGGCGTAGACGAGCGGATTGAGGATGGAGCCGGCGGCAGCGGGCAGCAGCAGGAGGTGGGCAGAGCTGCGGTGACCCCGCAGGCAGAGCGCGGCGAAGGGCAGCCAACACGCGGCGAAGGCACCCAGCGTGAGCGCCAGCGTGGCCGTCCCTCTGCACGCCGCGCCGTCGCCCGCCTGCCCTGCGAGGTGCCTCTGCGCCGCCACGTGCTGCGCATGCCGCCGGGCGATGCGGCAGATCTGCGCGTAGAGCTGCAGCAGCACAGCGAAGGCGGCCAGGAAGGAGATGGAGAGGGCGGCGAGGTGATGCCGGCCGAGCGGTCGGATGGAGCCGCAGGAGGACGGATCCCGCACGCAGTTCCAGCGCAGGGCGGGCAGCAGCCCGCAGCACAGCGATGCTCCCCAGGTGAGCAGCAAGGTGAGCCTGGTCCGGCCGCCCGCCCGCACCGAGCTGTAGGTGAGCGCGTGGTGCAGCGACACGAAGCGCTCGGCGGCGATGGCCAGCACGGTGCACACGCTGGCGGTGAAGGCGGTGAGCAGCAGCCCTGCCGTCCCCAAACCCAGCGCCTCCGACGGCACCAGATAGATGGAGGAGAAGCGCAGGATGAGGCCCAGCCCCACCAGCAGGTCGGCGGCTGCCAAACTGCCCACGAGGAGGAATGTGGGCGCGTGGAACGTCGGCGTCACCGCCAGCACCGCCAGCACCGCCGCGTTCTCGCAGCTGATGACGGTGCCGGAGACGCACAGCACGACGTCCCATGGATCCAAGGGCAAAGGTTGGAGCGTGGATCGCAGCTCTGAGGACTGAACGCTGCCATTCTGTGCCTCGAAACCGCCGTGCTGCGCCGTGCTTGCACTGGGGGGCCACAATTCCATCATGGTGACGGGGTCACCTGTGGGGGGCAAAGCCAGAGGTGACCCTTGGTGCCCACCTCCAAGGCAGCACCTGGGGATCTGAGAGCTGTGGAACGCGGTGGATAAATCCTTGGGAGCGGCACCGGCCCCATTGCCTGCCCGCCCCACCTCATGGCCCCACCCAAAACATAAGGAGGGAAGGTTATGGGGGCAGCTCCACTGCATGGGTCTGACCCCGCAACCTCAGCACCCTTAGATGGGGGGGGGGGCTGCTTTGGGGTTCTGAAGGGGCATTGAGTGGGCAGCACAGCCCTAAGTGTGCTGGGTGCCCTTCCCATGGCAGTGTACCCAAACGGACTGACAGCCCAGTGCCCTCATCCCACTGCCAACCCCATCCCAGTGCCCACATCTTCCCCAGTGCCCCCCATCCCATTGCCTTCCCATCCCAGCCCATCCCAGTACTCTCTAATCCCATCACCCCCCATCCCAACACCCCTCTATCTCAGCATCCCCTCATTCCAGTGCCAAACTCATCCCAGTGCCCTCCCTTTTCAGTGTCCCCCATCCCACTGCCTTCCCATCCCAGTGTATCCCAGTACTCCCTCATCCCAGTACTGCCCATCCCAGCACTCCCTATCTCAGCATTCCCCCATCCCAGTGCGCCCCCCATCCTATTGCCTTCCCATCCCAGTTCATCCTAGCAACTGCATCTCAACACCCCCCCATCTCAGTGTCCTCCATCCCAGTGCCAACACCTTCCCCAGTGTCCCCCATCCCACTGCCATCCCATCCCAGTTCATCCCAGTACTCCCTCATCCCAGCAGCCCTCATCTCAACACCCCCCATCTCAGCATCCCCCCATCCCAATGCCAACCCCATCCCAGTACTTTTCCAGTGCCCCCCATCCCTGTGCATCCCAGTGGTCCTTTATCCCAGCACCCCTCATCCCATTGCCAACCCCATCCCAGTGCCAAACCCAGTCCCAGTACATCCCAGTGCCCCCCCCCGTTCCAGGCACTCACCTGCCGGGCTGCCGGACCCGGTCTGTGCGGTGCCGCCCCGCAGCCATGGGCGCTGCCGAATTATAGCGACCGAACCCCTCCGAGTTGTGCGGGGGGGAGAAAAACAGGGGGGGGCAGAGAGGTGTGAATCACTGCC